TTTAATTTCTTTTTATAGTAACAAAGGGCCTTTAGTAAGTACGTTTTCAGTTTTATATGATAAATTCTCCCCAATTTTAGATACCCTAAGATCTTTTCAAAACAATTTATAAGCCTTAACTTGAGAATTTTAATATATATTTTATATAAAAAAATAAAATGTATAAGCATAAATCAATTTTTTATTAAATTCTGAATAAATTTTATTTTGATGCCTAAAATGTTTAGGAATAGGAATAAAGAAGGAGAGCGCAAAACTAGCGTTTCTAAATATCAATTTTTAATTATTCAAAAAACAAAATCAACCAAGTTTGCGCTTTATTAACAACCAACTTTAAATAAATTTTAAATAAATTTTTAATCAATATAAAATTCTAAACTGCACTTTAACGATTGATTGTGAGTAACCTCCTCTTGTGCATACTGCCAGTACTCGTACTCCCTGCAAAATATGCTTTTAGCTGAATATGCAAAATTATAGAACACCGTAAAGTGTTTTTCCCTGAGTGCATGACGAATGTCGTGCGGTCGGAGTGCCAAAACCATACGATTGTGGGCAGGGGCTCGAAGTTCCTCCGATCAAGCCATATGAAAGATGCTAATTTGCAGACAAAGCAATTCGGCGGAAGCCACCTCGCGACCCACAAACAACTAATGCCTTCAATTAGCCCGGCTAAACTGCTACCAAGAGCAAGGGTTAATCGCCCGGAGATCGGGAAAGGCCCTCGTCCTCGGCCTTCCGCCCCCTTTTTACGGTGGGCGGGGGCTGCGTTAAGCCGCAGCATTTTCTTTTTTTTTTTTTTTTTTGTGGCCCAGACTACCTGGGATTCCTTGGCCCGGTTTAACGTGTCCCACCCAAAAATGCCATGGCAAATCGTTTACAAATGTTGATCAATAAAACGTCGGACTGTAATGCGATTATCCGCTATAATCGTGCGATCAACACTCGAGAACTTTTCCCAAATATTTGAAAAAGTCAACTGGCGATCCGCGGGATCCAGGATTCAGAATGCAGGATGCTGGATGGCCAGGATCCAGGGCCTAAGCTGGTGCGACTTTCCCTCTAATCTCGCACTTTGCCGCTATTTGTTTGCATGCTTTAGCGGGGATTTCGATTTACAATCGCTCCGGAGAAAAACTCAGCTCCGGAGATTCAGAGGGCTGGTTTTTGGGATGGGCCGTGACCAGGGAGCCTCTGTTGGGACTCGTATTTACTAAAACTAACTGCGGATTAGCAAAAAGTCAATCGCCGCCTGCCAGTCTGTCGAACGAGTGGAAATATTTGAGGATCAACGCAGAACCGGAGGATCAATAGTAGACTTAAGCAGTGAGCCAGGAGGAAAATAAAACTAATGGTCGCTTAAAATTTTGTTCTTTCTAAATTGTTTCACTCTTAATGATGGATATTTAATAAAACTTAAGTTAAGCCTTATCTATATGAATCTTAATTTGACTTACACTATCCAAGGAATACAGTATACCTATGTATAACGGGTATAAAAACTAAAGAATATATTCGATAACTTATGTGGTTGTCATTATAACATAACTAAATACGGGAAATATAAATGTTATAATTTCAAAATTATATACAAGAATTATATTTAATATGCTTGAATATTTATGGGTTTATATACAATAAATCTTAATTATTAAAAAATATTAATTAAAATTAAGTTTAACAGATTACTGAAATGTAAAATTATTAAATATGTAAAAAATAAAACCCTTCATTGGTATTCACTAAACTTAATTTTCGTTGTAGTTTGAATACAAAAAAAAAGGTAACTAAGGATAATAGATGATGCTTTTAGACATGGCATGCCATGGTACGTTAGGATGCTCTGTCCAGAAATTCCTAATTTCTAGAAATCATGGCTCTAAATAGTTCATTATCTAAGCATCCCGTAGGGCGTTCTACGAGAAGGGCCTTCTGTGGGCTGTGGGCATGGAAATTCGATGCACACCACAGCATCCAACGGAGCAGCAACAATAACAATCGCAGAGGGACTGATAAAGACATTAGGCGCAGGGAACGTGAAACAATCAAGGCCGTTCCAATGTGTGACAACAGACCGCATTACGTCCGGCCAAAGCGAATCGATTGCCAAACACAAACAGCAGCGGAAATCGAGAGGAGAACAGTTGGGAGAAATACGTTAAAATGCCGTCGACTTGGTCATACCCATCAAATAGAGAATGTTTTTAGAAAAAGAGCCCACATTAACATAAAAGGGTATACTTGATATTGTTTCGTTAAATTCTTAAATCTGAATTTCATTTTTGTTTATGACTTATATGATTGAACTTTATTACTTTTAAATGGTATCCTTTAGTCTATAGCCTGGCGAAAAAAAAACCCATTGCGAAATGTTGCATAACTTAAAATAACTTAAATCATATAAAGCCGAAGCAAAGGTCAGAGGATCAAAGCTAAAATATAAACAGACAATCTATATATTTCTGTTAAAATATATTTCCGTACTATACATTTTTCTTAAGATTTTTTTAGTTGTCCCATTTATTGTATTGTATTTATTGGTCAATTTAAAATTAAATAAATTTATATCTATAACTTTGTTGACTTTTTGTTACTTTGAATGCTTTTTAATTTAAGATACTTTAAAACACATAATGGTATATTTTAAACAGTCATAATTATTTTAAATTTGGATAACTTTTGATTATAACAGTCAAATCTGTTTGTTACAAAATGTATAAAATTGGCTAAAACCGATATCTTACAACTTTATTGTGATGATTTGCTCATTTAAATATTTAACTCATTTTTGGACAAGAGTTAAAACAAAAACTTAGATGCTGCAATAAATTAATGTTAAATATAAACTTTAAACACACATAATGGGGGTATGTAATGTTAAATTGGGGACAAATAAATTGCACAATCTATTCAATGTTGGGATCGATTATAGCGGTATTTGTTTGCGTCGATTGGGCACACGAGCCTCTCGAGGTAGATCCTCCAAATCAGATGCGATCCTAGGAGTTTGGAGTTTTAGTTGCGCAGGTACGAGAGCGATCCGCTGGCAAAAGTTGAAAGTTGACGATCACAAGATCACAAGGAGGATTTTCATTCATAGCACCCTGGGTGGCATCATAAAAAGTCTCTTAGCATCGCTATTCATTGCACGGATGTGTCTTCATTTTCCCGCTGGCCGATTCGTGGAATTGCGAGCGAAGCTGACTCGCAGCATTTATGGCACCAATGCCTCCTACTGCTTCCTGCATGTCAGCCAGAACCGTTCCCTGCTCTTGGGTTCGATCCTGTTGCAGGATCGCCTCTTTCGAAGCGTTGATAGCGCGAAATTAGCGTTATATGAGTGGCCTATTCAGCGTTCATTGTCTGGCTAAATTGAGAAATCAACAAGGATCGAATCGGATGGTGGGGTATTGATCGGGGGTATTGAGGCGCCTCTTCACTTCCCATTTGCCTCTCCAATTGAATGTCTAGAGCTGACAGTTTACAATCAAGGTCACCGGCTCAAGGTCGTCGGGGTTTTTGCTATCCTGCCAGGCGACAAATGTCCTCGCTCCTCACTGGGTACTCCGAACTCCTCCCGTTGGGTTTGCTTAACCAAACTCCCAACGGGCAGCCACACCGAGCAGTAGAAACCTAAGTCTTTGTTGGTTTGCGGCCTCCGTTGTCCTTGCTCGGATCTGTTATGGATCTGCGTCTGGAGGATGTGCATTCGTTACGTTACGTTTCTCTGGGCCAATTTCCTCGCTGGCGTTCCGACCGGGGTCCATCATTAATTCTCCCAACACTTGGCGCTCTCTATTGTTCGGCGGCTCGTTGTTATCCCGCTCAGCGCTTTCTTTTCCAGCGGTTTTGCTTAACTTCTTTTTGAGAGCCTCTGTTGCGTGAAATTCCACAATTAATCAAACTCACGGGCAGCCCATAGAACAGGGTCGCAACGATGCCATCACCTTGAGCACCGGAGCATAATGGTTTCAAAAGCGTGACAAGGATATGCCTATGGTTGGGACTTTTTTTTTAACCCTAACGCTGAACGGTTAATTGGAAACTAACTAAACACGATTAATCAACATAAGATGATACAAATTCTTAGCTTTTTGTTAAATAATAGTACGATCGTAGTAATTTAGTATTTTGATCCACAATTACCCTATAATTTTCATTCACAAGGTATTTCATAAGGTGTTAGAAAATTAAATATATTATGTTAATACTTTTTTAGGCACAACAATTTTGAATTATAACTTGTAAGCTCCGGTTCCGTTTTCTATCTTTAACTGTCAGAAAAGTGTCTGCTTTCGTACCTATATAACTTAAAAACCCTAATGAGGTATCAATAAAGGATATAATACGCTTGTAAAGAGTGTTAAATGCGTACTCGATTGCATTATGAGTGCCAGTGAATATCTAATTTGATTTCCGGGTTCGAGTGGAACCCCAAAGAAAATCTCATATCAGTATTTACGTAAAACGAAATATTCGAACTATTTGGGTAAATCATTTCGAAAGTGACTTGCCTAGATCAAACAATGATGTCCTTATAACGAGGAATCGATAAAGGATATATTACGCTTGTAAAGTGTATAATGCGTGTTGGATTGCATTAGGTCTACCACTTAATGTTTACTGTAATTTCCGGAAACTAGTGTAACCTCCCAAGAAATACACCTTATAAAGTCAAAAATCATGTTCAGGATGGGAATGGAGTGCCAAGGAGCTTGTGTGATATTGGGGTTCCCTTCTTCTCGTATACCCCATCCCAAGTTCTCTCCCATTCTCCCCCGTTCCACATCAATTTTCGTGTTGAGACGCCCCCGGCGCCGAGTGAGATGGGTGCCCTATATACGCTTGCAAGTGGGAGCGAGAGGCCGTCGTAGAGCGGTCTGCGATTGGTCCGCGTGGTGGTTACCTGCCAAGTGGCAGTGGGATATGGCCGACGTCTGGGCCGCGGCTTCACAGAAAGGCAACGATCTTGGCCGGCGTTCGGATGGTGAAATCAGTCAGGCACAGACTGCGCAACGAGTCACACCGCATCTCGTCTTCGTCTTAAGATTCTCGTGCCCTAAGATTCTCGCTCTGAAACTAATCGGTTAGTTAGACAACACCTCGCAACGATAACTTATGACTTTGACTTTGAGTGTCAAGAAATCGTCTAGAACTTAAGTGATATTATACCAAGTGATTCACGAACTCCAAGACTGAGTTTCCGCCGGTTTTGTGCCGGGACAACTTCACGGTTCTTGGAGCTCCAGAAACTATGACCGTAACCGCCTTTGCTGCCGCCATGCACAGACCCTTCTTCAATGGATATTCTACCATGCAAGGTAAGTTGCTATAATTTGTATTTATCAGCAAGATCCTAGATGTCACTAGGTTAATAGATAGATTGGATATGAGTTCTGTTCAAGTGATCTTAGTTTTGGGTCAACTAAATTGATGAATTGTAAATGTAGTTTTTGATTGGAACCACTCTAAGCTTTGTCTTAAGGTTCAATACTCATTAAGATTTTTTAGATACAAGTTCCATTTCCTTTAAGACCTTTCCTTTATAATTTCTTTTAAAGTTTTCCAAATTTTGTAAAAAAAATAAGCCCTAATCAACTCGCGAAACTTAAAACCTTAAACCACTCTGAGCTTTGTCTTAAATTGTTAGTTCTTTATAGATCTTCTAACTTTAATTTGTCCAGACTCCTTCAGAATCGTATTAACTTTTGAGCTTTGTGTTCATATCTTTATAACTTTCTTTAATCCAGATTCATCCAGAATCGTAAGCATTTTGAGCTTTGTTCTTGAGATGACATATCTCATCAGATTTCCACCTCTCGTAGTTCCCTTAACACACTGTTTACATCCCTGCCAAAATTCTCAGTTCTCAGTTTGATCCAAGGCCGTCGGCGACTCTCTAATGGCCATTAGTTTGCTCGGCGGTAGAGTCGCGCGCCTCTGACCTTCGACCTTAGCTCCGAGTTTCCCTCTTCCCTCTTCCCGGGAAGTCAACAAAGTCGTAAATCAAGTGACACGCGCTCTGCGCTACCTAGCAAATTGGAAAAGCCTCTAAAACATTTCCATTTCGATTTCCTCCTCTGCCATTCCAGACATGAACAGCGGCCAAGGGCGCGTCAATCAACTAGGTGGAGTCTTCATCAACGGTCGTCCACTGCCCAATAACATTCGTTTGAAAATCGTCGAGATGGCCGCCGATGGCATTCGTCCCTGTGTGATCTCCCGCCAACTGCGCGTCTCCCACGGCTGCGTATCGAAGATCCTGAATCGCTATCAGGAGACAGGCTCCATCCGGCCGGGAGTGATTGGTGGCTCCAAGCCGAGGATCGCCACACCCGAAATCGAGAACCGCATTGAGGACTACAAGCGCAACAATCCCGGCATGTTCTCCTGGGAGATCCGGGAGAAGCTGATCCGCGAGGGTGTGTGCGACCGGAGCACAGCGCCCTCCGTCTCGGCCATTTCGCGCCTGGTGCGTGGTCGCGATGCTCCGCTGGACAATGATCTGTCCTCTGCCTCCGGTTCTCCCGCCGGTGGCGTTACCAAGGCCTCCAGCTCTTGCGGCTCCGATGTTTCGGGAGGTCATCACAACAACAGCAGCAACAACAAGCACTCCGATGAGGAAATCTCGGACTGCGAAAGTGAGCCGGGCATCGCCCTGAAGCGCAAGCAACGCCGCTGCCGGACCACCTTCTCGGCCTCCCAGTTGGATGAGCTGGAGCGCGCCTTTGAGCGCACCCAGTATCCGGACATCTATACCCGCGAGGAGCTGGCCCAGCGCACCAATCTCACGGAGGCCCGCATCCAGGTGTGGTTTAGCAATCGGCGGGCTCGTCTCCGCAAGCAGCACACCTCCGTATCGGCCGGTGCCCCTGGCGGTATGGCCTCTGTTAGCCATGTGCCCACTGCCACCTCGTCGCTGCCAAGTGTGGTATCCAGTGTTCCCAGCATGGCGCCGCTGGCCATGATGCCCGGCTCCCTGGACGCCGCTGGCTCTGTGTACCAGCAGCAGTACGATTTCTACGGCAGTGCTGCCAATATTTCCGTGGCCACCGCCGCCGCCACCACGACCATGGGCGGCAGCAATCTCTCGCCGGGAATCACAACCACGCCGCCGCATCATCATCAGTTCTACAATCCGAATGGCAGCACGGCCAGCTATCTGATGGCGGGCGAGAGTGGACATAGCACCACACCCACCGGGAACATCATTGTGTCCGGCTATGAAACGCAGTTGGGCTCTGTCTACGGAACGGAGACGGAAACCCACCAGACGACCATGCCGCGCAACGAGAGTCCCAACGAGTCGGTGTCCTCCGCCTTTGGCCAGCTGCCGCCCACGCCCAACAGCCTGTCGGCGGTGGTGGGTAATGGCGGAGTGACCTCCAGTGGGGGCAGCTCGGGAGCCGATCCCTCGCAGTCGCTGGCCAATGCCAGTGCTGGCAGTGAGGAGCTATCGGCCGGTGACCTCAAGGTGGAAACGGTGGATCTGGTGGCAGCAGCAGCGGCTGCGGCCAGTCAGTCGCAGTTGTACGGCGGCTGGAGCTCCATGCAGGCCCTGCGTCCCAATGCCCCGCTCTCGCCGGAGGACTCGCTGAACTCCACCAGTTCGACCAGCCAGGCCCTGGAGATGACCACCCACCAGATGTTCCATCCGTATCAGCATGCACCGCAGTATGCCACCTATCCACCGACGGCACCCGGACATGCTCACTCGCATCCGCATCACGGACATCCGCATGCCCATGCGCCGCATCCGCATGCACATCCACACGCGCATCCGCAATACGCGGGCGGACATCCGCACTATCCGCCACCCACTTCGTCGTCGCACTTCATGCCGCAGAACTTCAATGCCGCCGCCTTCCCATCGCCCTCGAAGGTCAACTACTCGACGATGCCGCCACAGCCGTTCTATCATTCCTGGTACTAAAATAGGATATCCATATTCCACCTCCTCCTCCAAAAGAAGCAGGAGCAGGAGCAGGAGCAGGTGTCACCAGGAACAAGCCGCCAAAGATGTAAATAGCTGGGGAGAAACATGAACACAACAACATTTCTGAGTGGGGCAGTACTGATGTTTTCCATGTGGCAAAACATCTGACAGACTCGCCCTGCCCCCCATAAAATAGTTCCAATTCGTAGAGCTAAGCCTAGTAAATAGTACCCACTAAGGTGTAGAACATAAGACATAAGACATAAGAATATAGCCTAAGTAGCAAGTGCCTTGAAAATAAATATCTATGCTAATTTATCCCGTATTCCATGGTCTTTCACTTGAAAATGCTCGCAACCATTCAGCAGCCTTGACACGCTTCTGTTCGCAGCGGGAAATGGAAAACGGAAAATGCGAAATGGGAAATCCTTCGGGCCATTAGAGCCTTTAAGTAGTTGCGCTTTCCACGGACCTAGCTGGAGATCTACAAACGGTCACCCGGGGAGAATCGTCTCGGAACTGGCGATCCAACTGTGCTGCGTGGGCTGTTTAGTTTCCGGAAAAAAAAAAGAGAAAACTGCCCAAAACGAGAAAACTCTGATGTGAGAGTGGCGAAGACAACTCCAACCAAGGTGTTAATTGCCCCCTCGATTCCATCGAACGGCTGAGTAATTGCTCTCGTTCGGACTTACCTCAAATTCACACCTCATCGCCGGGGATCAGCCCATCCTACGTGTCCGAGCAATGGCAATTGATGAAGTCATTATCCTTGAATCCTCACCTCCAGACAGCTCAGACAGCCTTAGAACTCTCTACTGGCTCTATTATTTTAATCTAGAAAGAACTTCTTTTCGCAGTTTGTTTTTCGTTTAACCAGAGAGAGAGGGAAAAGTAAATATTGACTTTGCAATCGACTTAGGAATCGGCGGGACGATAAGTTTTCCAGGTACACGAAAAGATTAGCAAAGAAAATTGCACAAAATCCGTATCTAGATCTAGTTGATTTCGTCCTTTTAAGAACCATAATCCCATAATCGCAAGATTTTCATCCTCATATCTGATCTATTTGGCCATTTGCAGACAACATCTAAGCCAATTTAATAACTGTTGATGAGGTAGAAAAAAATCATGGGCTAAATAACAATCTACATAAAACATCGTAAACATTTATTATTGTTTTTTATTATAAAATAACTTACATTTTGATATTTGTTTAATTATAATAGTTATTTTGTACAGTTATAAAATACTAATATATTTTTGTTTGAAAACAATTGTGAATTTAATTTTATTTAATAAAAATTAGAAATAGCTGTTGGCCTTTCATTTTTATTTTGACAAATCAGGAATAACAGTTATTCAATTATTTTTATAATAAAAATAAAAAAAAATCAAATCAAAATTCAAACGGATAAGTACCTTTCATCTGGAGAATCATGTCCATATTTCCATATGTCCATTATTCTCTGTTTGAAAATTCGATCTTGTTATCTGACTTATTTGGCCATTTGCAGACAACATCTAATGCCAATTTAATAGCACCCAAAGTCACCAACTGGGTTAATAAACCAATTACGATTTTAATTCGTTACCCACCGAGTTGGGGAGAAAATTCTCAGCAACAGTAGCATAAAGAAAGCTTCGATCGGGAAATGATTAAATCCGAAATATTACGCATTAATTTTCGGTAGCGATACAAGAATTACCCAGCAAAGCTGCCAGAGGAAAAGCTCGACGATGTGGCCTCCAAAACGCGGAGGCAGCTGTGGCGATAATGGAAGTTGGGGCTACGGCTGCCCAGAGATCATGGACATGGGCCCTGTATGCCCTCCCCTAAGCCGTGATTAATGGGCTGGCCGAGTGTTGAACATCAAAGGCAGGGAAAACAGTAATTTACAACGACGCGACTCGAGATGAAATTTAATTTAATTTTTTTTGTTAATTGTTGCTGGATGCTGGATGCTGGATGTTGGTTCGGATCTGGGGCGGCAGGTCCCAGATCGAGATCTACCTGCCGATGATCGGTGATGAACCAATAAACCCAGGCGTTGCCTGCCACATAAGCAGCGCAAAACCTCAAAATATTTACTCGACTGCAAGGCGGACTAACCCAAAAGTGGGATTTGCGAGTTTGCGAGTTTGCGAATCAAAAAGTCCAGTTCCAGGAGTTGGCCAAAAGGTTGCGAAAGGATTTGTAGCGTCGTTGTAGCTGGCTGTCCCGTTCGCACTCTGCCTTTCCCACTGCCAGGATTAGGTTTCATTTCGGAAATAATCCTTTGCTGCCAGGAAGAATGTAGTAAACGGCGCACAGCCCTTCGATGAGGGCCAGGTCAACTCGTTTTTGGCTCGTTTACGACGGAGTCATAAACTTTTATTTGCTGTCATTCTTCGTCCTCGTGCGCGGTGCTCATCGCTCAGCCAGGACTCGAACCCCTTTCCGCGCAGGATAAAGGGTCCTTTTGCAGGCAAGAGTTAAGCCAAGAGAGTAGGAAAGGCTTAGCTTTCAGTCAGTCAGCCAGTCAGTCAGTGAGTCAAAATCAGGTAGAGGTCCTATGTCGGGTTAGGTAGAGTCCTGTCTTCTCAGTTCCGAGCTGCAGCCGATAATCCCTGCTAATGAGGTGTCCTGCCGAAGAGTATCGAGATATTCGAGGTGGATGAAAGTCCCGAAGTCAAGGATAATAGGGGAATAAAGGGGATTACACAAAATGTAACGAAACAATCCAATTGAATGAAGCAATTATACTCGCAAAATAGACAATCCCTTAATTGAAAGAGTATTGCTCAATAAAAGCACTACCAACACATTGATATAGCTTAGTCTTTTGTCTAACATTAAATATAAAATATGCTTTAACACTTATAGAATAATATTGCCTATACAATTTTATGATGTCTATAAAATAATGGTAATAATATTGCCCATAGAATTTTATGGTAAAATATAAAATAATGGTGATCTAGTTTTATAGACTCCTTTGATTACATTTTATTTAATGTTATGCCACAAAGATCAATTTACTCTTGTCTATGCTTCATAAGTCTTTTTAGATTATAGAACGTTAATAAAAAGAAAGATCTTTAATTAATTTTTAAAAGACCTCTTCACAACAATAGTAATATTTAAAAATAGAGAGGGTTCTAAAATATGCCACCATTACAATGCTTAAAAGAGATTCGCTTAACATTAAGTAAAATTAGTTATTAAATTGCAATACAATTTTGTTGACCAATGAGTTCACTTTCAAGGATCTTCCTAGCTCTACGAGCAGATTGAGATATTATGATTGTCCTATCTGCAACCCTCTGCGATTCATTTATCAGCAGAGACACTGGCCCACCACGACCCATCCAAACAGTTGCCAGCCGTATTGGCAAACATTTCGGTTTGGTCTGTCGGTCCAACTACTCGTACTGTGATCCCTGTCATCGCCGCTGTAGAAGGAGATCGAACAGCGTATCCTGTGTGTCCTCGACCTCGAGCTATCCCACTGACTTGCAACGGAGTGGGAGTCGAGCGCATGCTGTTAGCGCACAAATTGATTTGTCAAATCGGGGCGCACAAGGACATTGCCATCATTAACGATGATTGCCTAGGACCCGGACCCTAGGACTCTAGGACTCCGTATCCTGGTGAAGGTCGTTGCGCAGTCGGTGCCAACGACTTGGACTTTGGGCATTGTCAACACTTTGTGCATACCACCAACTGTTTCTGTTATTCTGTCGCCGTCTCTCTCGTTCACCGGCTAGCCGTCTCTTTCGCAGGCGAAATAACATACATAGTTGGAGTTGTATGTCCCACTCGCTCTTTGATCTTTCGAAGTCACTCGTAATCGATTCGGAATGCCTGGCGGGATCTCTTGCTCCTGCTCCTTCTCCTTCTGCTTTTCCTTTGAGAACTTGTCAGCTTCCTTTTGGCATCTGCGCCCAGCAAGTGTCTTCTGTCCAAGTCGGCTGCTGAGCGGTTCCATTTGCACGCGGAGTGCCAAAGTTAACGTGGCCGGAACGGTTACGCTACTTTCCATTTCCACCAATTAAGCGAAGCTGCCAGCCGGATTGGCCGGCTAATTTAAGTTGTATTGGGATTGGGATTTGTAAAAGAAGCTCGGCTGGGGGGTTAGCAAGGTGCGGCATTGTGAGGAAAGGTTGCGAAAATAATACCTTATGTTTGAATAAGTTGACCTTGAGAATTTTGGTTGTAAGCTGACTTACAACCGGTGTTTAAAACTTGTTCAAAATTACGATATTAAGTCGGAAAATTATAATAATATTATTATTAGCGATAAAGTTTATCAGATAATACTTGAATCTAACCTCTAATTAATAGTTCCAGAAAAAAAAGAAACAAGTCTTTAAAAATAACAAATCGTATGATAAAAAGTTATAAGGCATACAAAAATAACCATAACAATAAGTGTCAACATAATCTAGAAAGTAATAAAATCTTTTCAAAAATTTCCACGGAAAACATGGATATAATTGGAATAGGTCTGTATATATTTAATTCGATAACACAAATTACTTAATAGAGTCGACAGACATTGTATTAAAAGCTGTAAATGAAAATTTAAGTAAGTAATCAATTTATTTATCTTTTATCACATCTTACCACAGCTAAAGTTCAGCTTTGCACTCAATTTTTGTTGTTCACAAGTGCCTTAGTGTTAACTTAATGTGTGGTACTTTCATTTTATATAGTAGATACTGAAATGGCTTTTAATTACTCCCCATTTGGAAAAGATACCATCTGTAAGCTCGAACCGAGCTTGTTACATTTACCTTCCGCCCGCGACAGGTGCCTTTACCACCTCATGGACATACACAATAGCTCAAAGCCAATTTCAGGTACAATACAGGCAGTCTAAGCCATCCAATTGAGCATTTGGCCAAATGGTAATACGCTTGCCTCCATGCCGACATTATTATTAATGATAAACACAAGTCGCCCTTTCGCGGCGGCGGTGAAAACAATGGATAACTCTACTTTATACACTGAGCAGAAGCAATGCTGTTTTTCCAAAAAAAAAATTTGAAAATTACCTAATATAAAAATTACATTTTTTTTAACTAATTTATGATCAGGATTTAATATATATATATATATATCATGTTTGGTACCTCAGCTAATTTTTTTGTATCAAACCAGTGTTTGTAATTCTAAAAATGTAATGAAAAAATATTACAAAAGAACAAAAACCGTATTTTCTAATATGTAATTAATTCGATGAATTTTGTTCAAACAGAATTTTTCTTGTGAACCCAAAAAAGCTGCAAAGAGGCACAAATTGAGAGATTTTAATACTTAAAAATACTTACAAACCATTGTTG